CCAAGTTACATAGAACCTCCTTAGAGTAACTTGGAATCTTCATGAAGCTAGGAGGATATGGACCTGTCTCTGATGGCCCGAGAGCGGACCAGGGCCCGCCTTCCCAGGGGTCACAAACTGCATAGCATATTGAATTAAGTTTCACTAAAACCATGTGGCAATGCAATATGCAATATGCAATGCAATCCAGAGGGAGGTGCTGTTTCACAACACATTAAATGAAACTTAAAGTGATTGTCTGGAGTTTGTCAGAAAGAGAGACAGGGAGGTACTTGATTTGAAAAAAACGACGCAAGCTCCCTCCCCCTTCCTTTCTGATTGGTCTACACCTACGTTTCCGTAACACTTTGAAATGTTAATCAGAGAACACATTATACATATACATTATTAATACACATGCACAGAGGTTTTCAGAATTATTTGTGAACGTTTTAATGAAAAAAATAATGTTTTTATGGCATGCACAAAAAAAGCGATCGCGGCAAACCAGGAAGTGCTATTATTATGAATTGCACATTATAGGACACATCTGCAGAGGATCTGATTATGGATATAGGTTCAGTATATACATAAGTACCTCAGCGCGGATGTTCAGAATTCTTTGTTCAGTTTTCATGTAGTGCAGAGCCTAATAGAGGCTTGATTCGGAGGCTCCGCGAAAACAAACAACTGAGCATGCGCGTAGCTGCGAGCATCAGCGCCGATGATTGACAGCCCTTGGCATGACTCGATTGGTTAACCTCGACGGCACCGTGGATTCTGAACTATAGCTAAGAGCAGGGAAGGCGGGACTTGTCCGTAATATTAGAATTAATAAAATGACTTATTTTATATCAACATTTAAGGCCAGGAGGTCAATTTAACACATTTCCTAAAATTTGTAATTCATTTAGAGTTACAGACTATCACTTTAACATACTCAAATGTGGAATACAAGTCAAAATAGGATATAACATGCAATTTTGCCAAATACAACTTTAAACTAAATGCCATGTTAAGAATCAATGAATAAAGAGGCCAAATTTCCATGTCAATATGCTATTCATTTCAAAATCTTGTAATTTGCAATATATAAAGACATTGTATCGACACTTTACATATTGAATTGCCATTAGAACTTTTGGAATAGAACATTAAATGTCAAAATTGGATATAACATTACACTTTGACAAATAAAAATACAAAATAAATACTAAAATAACATAATGCATAGCCATTTGACAAATGAATAGACAATTGAATTAAGGTGCCAATAGTCTTCCATAATAGTCTGGGGTTTGGCTGTAGACAGTATTTTATTAAGCCAGCAGGTGGCAGCAGAACTCTGTGGGTGTCTTGGTCAAAGATCACTGTCTGAGCACTCTGAGCAGGAGAGACAGAGGTGAAGCAGGCATGGAGTAATATAATCAGGGTCAGGCTACATTTGGAGGCAGTTTGAGCAGTAAATGTGTCTCTAGAGCTGACACAGACCATGTGGAGGATCAGAGCAGCAGACCAGCAGTGCACCCAAAAAGAGCCACAGAAAGTTATTGCTAAAACTATCACTGAGTCTACACCAGTGGAGGAGGGTCCCAGCTCAAAAGTGGCCAAAATGACGTGCGCTGACATGCTTGCAATACCACCCCGGGCCGATGGGAGTGGACCCAGAAGTAGAATTAGCCAATGCTAACATATAGCGTTGGCAGACCTCTCGAAAACGTCTTTACAGGATGGTCCAAAAGTTGGCTCTTGGCCCAAAGCTCCGTTCCACATGTGTGTCAATGCTGAGGGGGGGTGGATTTTTTTGGTCCACTCTAGTTTACTTGCTGTGAATTTTTGAAGTCTCTCGTTCAAATGAATGGAGCTGCGCCGGCTGACGCATGCGCAGATCCGTTTTTTCACAATTTTCTTGTGGGCGGGACCACTCGCGGCCATTTTGGATAGCTCCAAAATAGTTATGGTCCCAGCGCTCGCTGGACTAAACAGAACGACACTCTGTGGATGTAACCTCACAAACACACACAAACGCGTGCATAGATGCACATACATGCGCGCCCAAACACACATAGACACACAACAGTATTCTATTGCACTTATATTATAAGTATATTGTCTGTTCACTTTGATTTATTATCATTTATAGTGTTTATCATTGTAATTTTGCTTATAATTATAATAATGCATCAGTTTTATATAGCGCTTTTCTGGACACTCAAAGACGCTTTACATGTCATTATTCTTTCACTCCATACACGGTGGTGATAAACTACTACTGTAGCCACAACTGCCCTGGGGCACTCTGACAGAAGCGAGGCAACCAGTATGTGCCTTCTCATAACTTGTTGCTGTTTTCTAACATAAAAGATCCTGGACATGTTTGTGGAGATGCTAAAGTTAAACTAAATAGTGTTACAATCACTTTTCTGCAGGTTCGTCTGTTTTCACAAACACCTCATTTTCTCAGCTTTTTTTCTAAGACTGGTGCTTTTTGTCACACTCCCCTCTTTTCGACTGGAGATCACAGGAGAACGAAACAAGCTAAAAGCAAACTTATTTTTGCTGCTGAAAGTAGTCAGTCCAGTCTTTCAGACTCTGGTTTTATATTTTTCATAGCACACAATATTCTGTGAGTTTTGTAAATCAGTGAACTTGTCAGAAATGACTGGCAGTCAATAAGTTAAATGTGATTTTTCATTCTTTTGCGTTTTGTATGAGCAAAACAATGTGGGCAGGAAACATATTCTGCTGGAGCCAAATACATTTTGAATAAGCCGCTCTGTAGGTCCTGTTGATTTATTTGATATACAGTGCCTTGCGAAGGTATTCGGCCCCCCTTTCAACATTTCGCCACATTTCAGGCTTCAAACATAAAGAGATACAATTTTAATTTTTTGTCATGAATCAACAACAAGTGGGACACAATCGTGAAATGGAACGAAATTTATTGGATAATTTACATTTTTTAACAAATAAAAAACTGAAAAGTGGGGCGTGCGATATTATTCGGCCCCTTTACTTTCAGTGCAGCAAACTCACTCCAGAAGTTCAGTGAGGATCTTTGAATGATCCAATGTTGTCCTAAATGACTGATGATGATAAATAGAATGCATCTGTGTGTAATCAAGTCTCCGTATAAATGCACCTGCTCTTTGATAGTCTCAGAGTTCTGTTTAAAGCGCAGAGAGAACCATGAAGACACAGGAACACACCAGGCAGGTCCGAGATACTGTTGTGGAGAAGTTTAAAGCCGGATTTGGATACAAAAAGATTTCCCAAGCTTTAAACATCTCAAGGAGCACTGTGCAAGCAATTATATTGAAATGGAAGGAGTATCAGACCACTGCAAATCTACCAAGACCCGGCCGTCCCTCCAAACTTTCATCTCAAACAAGGAGAAGACTGATCAGAGATGCAGCCAAGAGGCCCATGATCACTCTGGATGAACTGCAGATAACTACAGCTGAGGTGGGAGAGTCTGTCCATAGGACAACAATCAGTCGTGCACTGCACAAATCTGGCCTTTATGGAAGAGTGGCAAGAAGAAAGCCATTTCTCAAAGATATCCATATAAAGTCTCGTTTAACGTTTGCCACAAGCCACCTGGGAGACACACCAAACATGTGGAAGAAGGTGCTCTGGTCAGATGAAACCAAAATCGAACTTTTTGGCCACAATGCAAAACGATATGTTTGGCGTAAAAGCAACACAGCTCATCACCCTGAACATCCCATCCCCCACCAGCCAAACATGGTGGTGGCAGCATCATGGTTTGGGCCTGCTTTTCTTCAGCAGGGACAGGGAAGATGGCTAAAATTGATGGGAAGATGGATGGAGCCAAATACAGGACCATTCTGGAAGAAAACCTGTTGGAGTCTGCAAAAGACCTGAGACTGGGACGGAGATTTATCATCCAACAGGACAATGATCCAAAACATAAAGCCAAATCTACAATGGAATGGTTCACAAATAGACGTATCCAGGTGTTAGAATGGCCAAGTCAAAGTCCAGACCTGAATCCAATCGAGAATCTGTGGAAAGAGCTGAAGACTGCTGTTCACAAACGCTCTCCATCCAACCTCACTGAGCTCGAGCTGTTTTGTAAGGAAGAATGGGCAAGAATTCCTGTCTCTCGATGTGCAAAACTGATAGAGACATACCCCAAGCGACTTGCCAGCTGCAAGTCGCTTGGGGTATGTCTCTATCAGTTTTGCACAAAAGGTTTTGCAGCGAAAGGTGGCGCTACAAAGTATTAGCGCAAGGGGGCCGAATAATATTGCACGCCCCACTTTTCAGGTTTTTATTTGTTAAAAAAGTTTAAATTATCCAATACATTTCGTTCCACTTCATGATTGTGGCCCACTTGTTGTTGATTCTTGACAAAACATTAAATTGTTATATCTTTATGTTTGAAGCCTGAAATGTGGCGAAATGTTGAAAGGTTCAAGGGGGCC